GGGGTGGTGGTAATGTGACTGGATGGGCGTGGCCATTTTTTTTTTTTTTACTTTTGAAACCATTTTTTCTACAACCTCTTCGGCAAAGAGGTTGTAATAAAACGCTTTCAAAAGGCTCTGACGATCCCAGCTGAGTTGCCTGATTGTCAGAGGGTTTTTTAAAAACCCTCTGCCGATCAGGCAACTCAGCTGGGATCGTCAGAGCTTGGATCGTCAGAGGCATTTAAAAGAAAAAACCTTTTTTTTCTTTTAAATGGTTCTGACGATCCAAGCTGAGTTGCCTTGATCGGCAGAGGGTTTTTAAGCCTCTGATGATCGCGCGGCTCAGCTGGGCATGGGGGGGTGGGGATTTTTGCTACCGGTTCTCCAAACCATCCGCCTCCATCAGTACCACATCGGGCGATCCAGTCCGAACCGGGAGCATTTCACCCCTGGTCTGTGGGGACCACAAGCAATGGGAACAGCAGCATGAGGTGCCTCAGGGGGTAGGGAAGGCCTTGGAATATTTGGAACAGGCCATGGGTGAGCTGGGGAGTACAGACCTGGGCCTGCGCTAAGCTTCCCACAGTCTCCTCCACCCCAAAGACATCTTGCACTCCCCTAATAACCCGCATGGTCATTTAATGACCGCACTGAGAAAAAATGGAATGGGGTTATTAAGTAATCATGTGAGCATCTTGCTTAATGACTATTATGACTTGTGACCATAATGGGCATGCTTCCTTACAGTAACAGATCAAGGACTACCTGTATGTCTTATTTTTGAAGGATAATCCCTAGAGCAGATGTAATTCATTGAAGTCACAGCTGGACTGGCCTTCCTCACAGCACCAAGTCAGGAAATTAGTGGCAGAGGATTTGGGAAATGGACCACTGGCACCATCAGCTTTCACCCCCTCTAAGACCAGAACCATTTGACTTTGTAGAAGAATGCTAACAGGCTCTCTGAATATTTCTGGCCATGTCCTTAGAGTTAGAGTTGGCTGAGAAACAAGTAGACCATTAGTGTGCTGCTAGAGGTGAACTCTAGTTTACCACAGCTATCATAAAAGTTATTCAATATGAGTGGATTTGCTTGTATCTTGTCTTCAAGAAAGGAAGAGATAGGTAATAAAGAAGGGAAAAAATAATAAGGAAAGATGAAAGAAAATGAAAGAACTTTGCTGGAACTCATAGGCTTGCATAATCTAGAGCACAGAAGACTAAGACTACAGTTCCTATAGTTATCACTAACAACTAAACCAGCATCAGGTTCAATCTAAGCCTGGCCTCAAAATAAGAGAAGGAAATATGTACAATAAATTGTTCTGTTTTTGCTGTGAAAAACATGTTCTTTTTATCTGTTTTTACCTAAATTTGGTATCTGGCATATTGATTCTTAAGATGCACAGTGGGATAAACTTAAATTTGTCTTCATGAAACTGAAGACAACATTTATATTATTTATCAAAATAAAAGCTAACATTTAATATTTTACCTTTGCTACTGGAGAAAAAGCAAATATAAATCTAGAATGTGGATTGTGGTAACAAAATTGTGTGAAACTGATATCTTCTGAACTAATCAATTGTAGATACATTTTTGTAGGGCCCTCTTCTCATATTTATCAGGAAATGAATCTCCTTTTCACCAGACAAAATACAGAACCATGCCGTTTTGCTGTTTCTTATATTTTTATGAAGTTTATCAGTTGTTTGCCGAAGCGAGCAATGGAGAGTTATGAATATGGTTTCCTCTAAATAAAAAAAAAATCTGTCTATATATTTTATATGCCTAGTACTTTTTCCAAATTTTATATTGCCACTGTGTAAAAAAAACAAACAAAGGTGAAATGCTTCTACCGGTAGAAATATCACAGTTCCTTTGTAGTCAGAACCAACAATGGATTCTTATTCCATTTTTTAATTAAAAAATTCTTAATAAAAAAAGAAATCAAACAAAAACTTTAAAATGTTCACATCTATTAAATTATGATTATTATATACAGTTAATTGCAACTGAAAGGTTTATGAGAATCATCTTGAGCAATTATCCCCATTTAAAATATATGTCATCCACTTCTTGAATATTTTTAATGTCTTTGATCTTATAGTTCAGAATATACCTGGAAACTGTTCAGAGAAAAAGTACAGAATAGTCAGGAGCTATCTGAAACCTTTCAAATAAGAAAAGGATAAAAATAACCCCCATAAAAGAAGATAACTAAAAACAATGGTTATTATTATTAAATCTTAAGCAGCCTAAATAATATTAACAACATTTACATACATATATATTGCTGGAAAGCAGTGAAAGGATTAGATGACATGTATCACATTGTGAGTGTCCTTGCCATTATCTATAGCTTCAATTAAAGCAAACAAATAAATACACAAACTTGCCTCTGCCTGTCAAGAGTTCTCCTAATTCTTTCATTTGTATATATTATATCAGCATTTGATTTGCTGTAGATTTGCTGTGATTTGACATTTACCAAACCAGAATCTGAAACTACCTGGGTCTTATTTTATTGGTAAAGTAATTTTTCTTTTTATTTATTATTAAATTTATATGCTGTTCATCTCACAGTTTGAGGCTTATTTTAATCAGGACTCTGGTATATTTTTATTCCTTAAATTAGTAGTTGACAAGATAAAAATTAAAGGGAGAGGTCCTATTATTTTGCACTGATCTTGGGTTTACTCAGTACAGATAAGGTTTATTCATAGTTGTACAATAGGATATGGGAATTCAAGTTTTTTATTCTGATTTTAGAAACTCAGATGGTGAAAAATAAGAAAAAATGTAATGGTCATTCTATTTTATTTGTTCTATTTTCATTTTCAAACATGCTACGATAGATCTCTAGTTGCTTTAGCACTGGAGAAGCTTGGTAGGACTAAAATAAACTGGCTAGCACACACTACAGTTGAAATACATGATAAATACATGTGTGTTTTGTTTTGCTTTAAACTGCATCCTAGTCCCATCACTTTTCAATAGAAAAAGCTACTTAAGAGTCTGTGATCTCACTTGTCAAATCTGTCTTACAGTTTAGTATGAGAAAGTTTAAAATCTGAAGAAGTAAAATAACAGTTCGGCATTTTATGATATATCTGTGACAATAACAACACTGCCATTCTACAGGTTTTATTTCCCACCCTATTTTCCAACATGGTTACATTTTTTCTTTCTGCATCTTTTAAGATGGAACGTACTACACCGCCCATCTCATGTAGGTGACTCTAATTTTCCTACTGGATTTTTTTTTTCACCTGTCAGTTTAGGAATATTTAACTGAGTCAACAGTGATAAATTTGTGTGGGTCACTGGCTAAGATTTTTTTTTATAAGAAGGTGAATTTTACATTTTGAGGGGGGAATTTTGAATTCAGTAGGGTAGATTTTGTAATGTCTATCAATGTAATTCAACAATTTGGTAATATCTTTTGCAGAAGTATTATATACCTAGAGACAAAGGAGGAATTAAAGTAATAGATTTTTATTTAATTCCTTGTACACACATAATGACACTCAGCAGGATCATTTACATGAATACTAAATTACACCTACCGATATTGCTGGGCAGAATGGTGTTTCTGCATAATAAGGAAAATCAATGTCCATACTATTTCATTATTATAGAAATTAAAATTTATTATGCTAATAAATGGCATAATATATTGTTTTCTTATAATAATTTTCAATTCTTAACCTCAAGATTTTACACAATTTTAAGTAACATTAGAAATCAGTATCATGGCAGATGATTAAAATTGTTATGCTCTGAAATCAGAGTTTTACTATGTAGTTAATTCAATCTAACATTAAACTGTCATCCTTAAGAGATATGTTACTTTCCTAATAGTTTTGTGTATTAGATACTTTTGTTATTATAGAGAGTGCATCTATATTTATATTTTCACTTATATTTAGATTCTGACTGTAGAGCATGATGGTTCAACTACATTTAATGTTCCATAGTTTTCCATTGTTGCTGAATGTGTGGATAGGCTAGAACTTAAAATTACTCATATCCTAAATGCAGAACAACTAAAAATTGCTACAAAACAATTGGAATATATATATGGTCTAGGTCTGAATAAAGTCACATAGGCATTTCACCTTGTCTTAGGCAATTAAATAAAATATAAAGATATGACAAAATGGTTAACTAGAAATGTATCTCAGCATCCTCTTAAACATACAAGGTGAAAATGTAACTATAATGTTTAAGAAACAGAGGACAGGCAAGAAAAGACTGGCATACTGAGAAGAGCAATTTGAAAAACCAGGAAAGGAAGTTATGATATGGCCCATATGAAAGGGAAAGAGAAATAAAGATTTGAATGTAATTTGGGAAACATAATACTTTTGCTTCTGTCAGGAATATGAAAGTTGGGAGGATTCAAAACAGGTAATGAAGACCTCAATTTTAAACAAGTTGGTGGAAATGTTGAAAAATATAATTAATACACAGTTATAGGTAGTCTTTGACTTAGAATGGCAATTGAGACTGGAATTTATGTTGCTAAGTTATGTGGTTGGAATCAATGATCATAAGTTGAGGACAGCCTGTATGTAGTATTAGGGATGACACTATTGCTGATAAAAGGCAGTTAAAAAAGAAAAGCTTTTATGAAGCTATTTCTCAGCATATTCCTGTAACTTTTTCAAAACTTAATCTGAAAATGGATTTCATAACCATTTTTGTTGGTATGCATTTTATGATAAAGTTCATTGGATTATTGTATTTGCTCTTTGATAGATATACTACCAGTTATAATCTAATGTTCACTAATGGGTTTTGATGTACACATTTTGCTTGCTGTAACCAGCACTTAAGGATTTGATAGCATACAAAATGAAGGCAATAAATGTTGAAGCACATTTCTACATGTACCTCATTCCAGGTAGTAAAAGCTCTGTATCAGTCTCACAGCAGTATTTTGTTCATCTGATTAAGAAGCCAATAATTTTACATTTTTTAGCAGTGCAAGAATTTTGCTCTACACTTCCTACCTCCTTCATTGTCCTTGCTGTCAGTACATAAAGTTTCCATGGCGACATCACATCCTGCTCCCCTCCATCCAGGCTGACAAACACAATGCCAGCCATTTTGGTCAAGAGTACATCTTCCATTACTATTACACAGGCCAGGGCATCCCTCTGTTAAAACAGGCAAAAAGGATACTCCATGTGATTTAAATATTGCAAAAATATTTCAATCTAATTAAAATACAAACAGGGGACACTTACTGGGAACAGGCCTTCAGAACAGCACAAATACTGTAATTGCACATGGAGAGTAACAGCAACGTTAACTAGGATTCTTATTCTTAACTAAGTGGCATCTTTGATTTGTCTGACACTTTGAGACACCACTTACCTGTGCAGGCAGGAAATATATCTAATAAACCACTAAATACCTGCGGGCCAGACAAAATCATATTTTCATTTTCTTTAGTGAAACAGCAGGTAACAGCATCACAGCATACAACATAGCCTCAAGATAAAACAATAGTGTTTCTATTTTTAAGAATAATGATTTGATATATTTGTATCACAAGTTACTTATGTAGATTTTGTTAAGCTCCTTGTTTTAAAGAAGTATTTTTAAAATTCAAAGGAAGGTATGTTCCTTAGTACTCAATAAAAGAGAATGTTAATTTCATCTGGTCTCAGAGTTGCCGTATATTCATGTGAAATTACAGTGCTTTAAATAATTGCACAAAGTATATGTCAATTTTATGACTATACTTTATGCCAAAAATACATTCCTTTCCACAGAATAAGCAAAGCTCAGGAAATAGTGAAGCAGCTTAGCATCTAGTCTAACAAACATTAGGATTCAGGCTGCATACGGATGGGACAGGACCAACAAGATTTCCAACTAAATGTAATAGCTGTGCGTATTTGAGTATTTAGGACGGACAAAATGAAATACCATAAGGACCACAATAAAACATTGATAGACTGAACAAAAACACGGTAGTGACGTGCTTCAAGACAGAGCGGAGAGTGATTATAATTTTTTTTGTGACAATCTCCCTAAGGCTTTTGTTCTGTTACCTTTATATCCTATCTTGTCTGCTTTTATGGCCAAGGAGGGAAAATTTGGGAAACAATTAAAATTATTTAATATATCCAAGATCTATTTTTTAAATCTAACATTACATCAAAAACAGTATTTGTCAATTCATATTGATGAAAACCTGGCATGCAGCCAACATGACCTGTATGAGAATGATGACAGTTTATATAAATATAGATGTGTAAAATTCTAGTATTCCTTATCTATGAGTGTTGTAAGACATTCACATAAGCAAATAAAGCAGAATTATAATCACTAACTACCAATAAGATTTTAGGACTTAATTTTTACTCCACACACATTAATATGTAAGATGTGCCATTTTTTTCTGACTATATCTCTGGGTTCTAGAAAAGGATTCTTTCCAGAAGATTGATAATATTAATGAAAGAATCTGTTCCTATGTCTTAGACTAAAATAATTATAACTGTATGCCTTTATTTATCTATATTAGTACAAATTAAACAATATTTTCATTGAAATAGCATATAGTAACATCTCATGACCAGGTATGGTGAAATTATTGTTATGGATGTCATGTAATCCTACCTGGCTGAGATTATATTTGGCCTGCTTTTTCTTTAGCATTTTTTGCCACGTGCACATTTTAACTATACACACAGAGGATATATTTTAGTTTTGAAATATTTTTTTCCACTTGATTACTACATAGGATATACAGCTTTATCTGTCCTATCATCAAGGTATTGCAGACAATTTGATGCAATTAACAATAATTCTACGAAAGCCTGGATATTGCCATACTCTAATGAAAAAGCACAAATAAGGAATAGAAGAAAGGCAATCTGGAAAAAAGGGGAGCACTGATGATAATAAAAATAAATAAATTAAATAGCCAGACTTCTACCAAAAACTGAAGATATGGAAATATTTGCTGTTTAGTGGCTTTCAACTTTGCAAGTAAAATAGATTTAATATATTGCACAGATTTTCTTACAATTTTTCTTTGAAGTAATAAAAGTTTAGTGCTTAATTTTAGTGGATAGCATTCAAAAAATATGTCAAGATATTTGAATGCAGAATTCAGAGTTTAAGCATTAAATGTCTCCCACTTTTCCTTCATATCAGACCTGAACTCCTGTTTCTATTATAAATTTCCAGGGGGCCTTCTCATATTTTTTCATACATGAATAATTGAACGTCTGTTCCAACAACAGAGTTGGGACACTTAAAGACACCACCAACAACAAATACTTGTAATCTTCAGCATCTGAGAACATCAAAGTGAATCTATTTATACACATATTGTGAAATTTAACAAACTGCTTAGTAAAAATGTTAACAGATAACAACAACATTAAGTCTTCTCTTATCCAAGTCATATGGAAAGTAACACAAATGAAATCTGTAATTCAATGAGTATGAATATGTTGCACTTGCCAAGTCTAATGGAATGACCACTATAATATACACAAAGATATATGAAGGCATGTAGAGATACATGGAACCATGTCAAGTAAGAGCAAATATACAGTACCTTTAACTATTTTATCCAAATAGTGAGCTTGAGAATTAAAAAGAAAAAGAACAGACATTTAAGAACAATAGTAAAGGATGAAATTTTTCAGAATTCAGAAATAGAAAAAGTAGTGATTTACTGAAAAGAGTTGTCCTTAATTTCAGAGCAGTATACTTCTTACTGTAAATAATCATATAAACATTCAGCAATTAAAATCTATGTCTAGATTTCAAATATATTGGTTTATACCTTTTTATAGCTACATCCATTGAAAAGCATGAACAATTTTAATTGTAGTGCACTTATATGGTTTGTGACTTTTGTTGCCAAGGCCAACTGAAAACCAGTATTTCATAGAATTGTACAGTTCTGATATAAAATACTTAATAGAACAGGAAAAGTTTGGTATACGTCCTTTTTCTTTCCAGACATCTACACAAAAGCATAAAAAAGTTGTTCTCACTCTTGTACTTTCAACAATTGCTACTCAGAAGATTGCCTTTGATTCAGAAAAAAGTACTTACTTATCATGACCACTAATCAGTGAAAGTGTCGCTCTGAATTTTTTAAATCCTCCTGTTAAATTTTCTAAGTAGGTGGCCATTGATGTATCTTGTAGAAGCATAGTTTTCACTCACTGGGTAAAGAATTATTTGTACCAATTTCCCACCATTTAGCTAAATTGGAGCTTAGATTTAGTTTTTGCTATTGAGAAAGAAATTTCTCTCTGTTATATCAACGCTTGATAATCTCTATCAAAGCTTTCCTTAGTCATATTTTTCTAAATTAAATAATTCTATATGTCCTAATCTTTTTTTGAAAGAAAACTGTTCCATCCAAAACGTTCAGATTTTCTTTGTCTAGATCTATTTTTTCTAGTAGTGTGTTGATGAAAACTATAACTCCAAGTGTATAGCTGCATTACAGAGCTGTTTAAAGGCATTCCAATTTGATTTTAAATCCTGTGTTTTTACAATGACCCTTAATACAGAATCCATTGTTTTCATAGCTTTGAGTTATCTACAACAACCGCCTCAGTAAATCCTTTTTCTGGTCATTAAATAATTGTTTATACTCCATTGTTGTATATGAGAAATTAAGCTTTTTCTTTATAATCTCCCGAGGTGATCACATTACTTACTCTGAATAATAGCTGCCATTTTCAGTTCGGAAAACAATTCCGCAGCTTTTCCAATTAACATTTTTATTGCTGCCTTGGATAATTTTGTGTGATTCACAAACAGGGGAATTTTACTGCTTACCCCTTTATTCAGGTAATTCATAAATAACTCAGAAAGACCTATTTTCAATATGGATTCTTGGGAGATGGCATTTTTTACTCCCTCCATTTTGAGCACTGTCAATTTCTGTGAATTATGCAGCTAATTATGCAAAACAAAACACATTATTCTTACTGGTAGTAATGAAAGATGAAACTAATTGTTTTAAAATTTGAAACTGACTCAAGGTTTCAGATAAAAGCAATATAATTTTGGCAGCATATTTTCAAAAATTCAAGAGGTTTTACAATGGCCAATTACGATTTCACATAAAGCCTAGTATATTTTTCACAGGTTTGGCAATGGTTAAATAACGGTATGTTGCAATTTACATCGGTATAATGGGTCTTATTTTTCAGTTATATATTGAATGTAATTTATATAACTATGCATGATATTGTATTGTTTTTTATATTTTGGATATTATTCAATAATCACAATAATGGATATTAACATCCGGAAATAAAATGATTATCATGAATCAAGCTTATTAAAGTTTCCTAGGCAACTGCCAAAGGATACTATTTGTTAATTACCTGTGTAGTATAGAGTCTAGATACCTGATATATCATCTCAAATTGCTTCTGCCTTCCCAATTATATTCTGAGTAGGGTGGATAAAAATCAATGATTTTTAAAAAATAAAATAAAAAAAATCAGATTTTTTTGATTTAAATTGGATTTTTTTATTTAAATCAGATTTTTTTGATTTTTATCGAATTTATTTTAATAAAAACTTTTGGGGTAAAAATCTATCGTAAGATAGTTTTATATTTAAGATACATAAATAATTTAGTTTATTCAGCATGAAATGGAGCTTAGTTATGTAGCACAAGGCTGTATATTCTGCAACACTGGGACTATCGGTGAGTCAACAGTGGGTCAAAGGAGTAGCAAAGATGACAGTTGCTGTTTAAAAATTACGATTTAAATTGAGTTGATTTAAATCAAGTCTTTTTACTAGTGATTTAAATCATGATTTAAATCATGATTTAAATCGACTCGATTTAAATCAAATCCACCCTGATTCTGAGGATGGGTGCATTCCAGTTTCCCTCTATTAAATGTTGTTATTTTGTGACACTGAGGAAGCACTGCTTTTCTGATATGACCCCCACCCTCTGGAAGGACACCTCTCTAGAGATAAGGTGGTCTCCTTTTTCCTAGGATTCCAAAAATTCTTAAAAGCAGGCCTGGGGTTAATGTATTATTGTCTTTTGGGTGGGGTGGGGAACGGCTGTTTTGCTTTGTTTGTTTTGAATTGCTTTTAGATTGATTTAGTCTGGCCTGTCTGTGTGTTTTTATTTTATCTGTTTTTTTGGTTTGTACACTACCTACAGTTCATCGGAGTTGGGCAGCTACAACAAATCTGAATAAACAAACAAACAAAAGATCAAATTAATATAAAGCATAGTATTTGGCTGCTGCATGAACACTTGGCAAGAAATTCCTGAGGATCTCAAGCTAAGAAGAGTGAAAAAGATGATCTCTGTCAACAATGGACAAATAGATTATATTTTTTTCTCAAGTTTAGCTCCTATTGTGTTTTTAAAATGCAAACCTAAGATCTGAATTGATATGATCTGTAAAAATTTATAAAATAATAAAAGTTTATATATTAACATATACATGATTTTTACTGCATTAGGGAAAAATTGCTATCCACTTCAATGACAATCAAATGCAAAACAGTGAGTTTATGACCAAAGGTATGAAACTAATGGATCCAATGAAAGGACAAAGGAAAAAGGATTGGTGTCTTAAGACTGCCGTGAGGATGAAATGCCATATGTAAACAGGAACATGAAAGTGCTAAAAGGAACATGATGGACTAGAAGAAGAATGCTAAACTGCCTACTGAGACATTACTTCTTTGGAATGTGAAAAGTTCAATTACAGAAACTGATTAATAATACAACACCATATCAAATAATAACCACTTAGATACGTTGCCCATAGAAGGACCATGTAGTTATTGAAAAGAAGTATTTTTAGTCTCATGGAAAAGGAAACTTTGACCGAAATGCCACGAAGCAAAGGAATTGCAGAACGTTGTGCTTTTTGAGAATAAACGAGGTTTTGGAGTTTTGTAATGGAAACACTGATGGAATTGTGCAAAGAAGTAAAACGCAGAAAAAGTACAGTATAATATATTATATATACTTCTCAACTTTAAGCATTCCTTCATGAACATCACAAAACTTTACTATAAAAATCAGGTTCATTTCTCTAGATATGAAATATCTAATAAAATTATAAACATAAATTTTCTGTATCTCAAACCTTGGGTAAAATATACTGAACTGGTTGAAACTGCACACTGACTTGACACCAATCAGAAACTCTAATTTGAATACTGGGAAAAATTTGGAAATTTACTGATATTTAATCACTACCCATTTATAATAAAATGTAAATAAATAAAATAAAATCTTTTTTTGTAATTTTGCTTACAAAATGTTGTTATACTAGCACAAAGTTTTCATTTACTAGTAAGTTTAATTAAGAGATCTCAGCAAAGGGTTTCTAAAACTGAAGAGTTTTCATTAATCATCGATTAAAGATGTAAATCAGTATCCTTGGATCATTAGATTTACATATGCTAGCTTCAATTGTTATTGAAGTTATAACTTGCAAAGAAGCCTATATTAAATCCATTTATTCCCATCATTTCTTGTTTAAATCAGGGTGAGCTAATGATTTCATGGTCCTTAATTGGTACTCAGTGCACTGTTTTATTACTGATTACCTTATACAGATCATAATAGTGACATTATTTTCAGTGAGAGATAATGCATTCTTATTTATATTTGTGTAATCATACCCATTATAAGTTATTTCTACCAAACATATTTCATGTTTAAGATTAGCTTTTAAAAAATCACCTTGTTTTTTGCATAAATTTCAACAATAACTGACACTATACTAACAATACTTAAGGAATGGTAAATTAGATTTCCAGGCAATAATTCAATGAACTTTCTATAAAAATCAATGTTGATCTACCAGTATAAGAATTAAGGATTAGACACAATGAATGATACATTAGAAATATATTATATGGCACTGAACCAAATGTGCTTTTCAAGAGGCAACTGGACTTTTTTTTCTTTTTCCTTGAAAACATTTTGCTTCTGATCCAAGAAGCTTCTTCAGTTCTGACTGAATGGTGGAAAATGGAAATATTTATATTCTTTGCAGTCATCTGGTTGTTAGCACTCTTTCTGAGAGTCATTAAGGCCACTTGGAGGTTTATCTCTGCCCTGAGAGTGATCTGAATAGTGCAAATGGGTGTGAAACCTCCTTGGAACTGCTGAAAGGACTCTGTTGTAAGCAATAGATAGATGATATTGTATCCCTCCCCTTCTGTTAAGAGAGGTCTGTTCAATTTTAATGTAGATGGCCTCTTTGATCCTGCTTTCAAACCAAAGTCCACAGAATGTGGACTTTGCTGTCTTCAAAAGAGAGGCCTTTGTCTTTCAAATGCAGATGGACTGCTGAATGTTGTCCTGATGGGCTTGTTCTCCTATGTTGTGTTATTTGCTTGTGAAGTGGTTGTTTTGTTTATCCAATACACAGATCTGCACTTCTTATTGCATTGTACTGCATTATATCACATTGCTCAGTTTGTGTCTGGATGTTTTATCCTTGATGTGGACAAGCTTCTGCCTCAGTGTATTCTTGGGTTTAAAATGTGCATGTATGTTGTTTTAGTTGAAAATCATCCTGAGCTTCTCTCCTACTCTCTGAAAGAGTGCTAATGACC